AATGCTGGTTATGTCGCACTATTCGGTACGATGCCTGCTAATGCGACGTGGATCGCTCCAGCTGCTGACTTTTCTACAGTGAACGGATTATTTCCTAGTTTCCTAGCCACATTTAATATTTTCGGAACTGGTACTAGAGCTCCATTCATTCAATTGATCGGATTACAATGCACCAATACAGTTCCTGCCACACCTATTCATCTCAATGAGACGATACTCTCCATATTACAAGCAATTCAACGTAAATATGTTGGCGTGCCGGCCATTGGTGCCTCGATCATTCAACTGCCATCATTGGAATCTTATACAGGGACCCAACCATTCCCACGTGTGATCTGTCCTTTCATTCCTGTATCAACGGTAGTGTCTGGTGTTCGTCGCGCTGATGCAGTGACTCCAGAAGCAGTAACAGTCAATGATAAATGGCACCTTGGATCAGAAACTAAATCAATGACGGCTATTCTCATTCATATGTTGATTGAAGCAGGCAAATTAAATCTCAACACCACTGTTGGCGAAGTCTTTCCTTACTTGCCATTTTCTTCAATTTCAACGCCACCTTCAAATTCATGCGCCTGTACCAATCTCTCTAATGCTGTTGGTTATTTCGCTGAATCTCCTTATTCTTGTGGTTTGACCATTCATACTTCATGGAAATATGTAACTATTGCTCATTTATTGACTCATGCCTCGGGTCTTGGCGCGCTGGAAACGATATTCAATGAATTCATTGTTGAAGAATATGCAATAGAAATAAATGGTACCAAGGAGTCTTGTAGCAACTATTCTTTGCCCTCACGTCGTTATCATTTAAGTGTCTTATTACCGATGGCTATTCCTAGTTCACCACCATCGATTGATGTTCCTGTAGCTTACTCTTATTCGAACAATAATTTCATTTTATTAGGATTAATTTTAGAAGAAATCTGGCATTTACCATGGGAATCGATTATTCAACGCCAATTATTTGATCCTTTGGGAATGATTACAGCAGGATTTGGCTCACCAATTGAAGAAGTATCATTGAGTTCGTTCGCTACTCAACCATTGGGCCATTTCATAGATACAGCTAATGTGATACATAGTATGGACAGTGATTTACCGAAAGTTTGGGCCCCTGCCGGTACAGTTCACGCTAGTCTTAATGATTGGGCTAAATTCATTGCCTGTCATTTACAAGAAGGACGTGATCTGACGTCATTCGGCTTTGCTCCTATGAATAGTAGTTTTCTTAATTCAGCGACCTTACCTTATTTACTCTCGGCATCGATATGGAAGAGTATTCATACTGCATATGTTTTCCCTTCAGCATCGACTCCCAATGTTCAATATTCACTCTCCGCAATGGGTATTGACAATGATAGTCTTGGCCTATCTCTGACACACACTGGCTCCAACACCATTTGGTTTGCTTATGTTGTAGTTTATCTTCAATTGGTTCAGCCGATGGCTCTTTTAATCACAGCCAATGTCTACAATGACAATGCTGTTTTAGAAGCTAAGGCAGCTATTATCAATGCTTATCTCACTTGGCGACAACAAGGACAACCACTTCCAATGGACACGTCAGCAGCTTCATCATCTGCACCACTTAGTTTCGGGTTCGTTCTCATTTTAGTCAGCATTTACTTCATCCAATAATTGGTACGAAATGAGTATAAAAACCATGCAGTAATTCTCAAATGTTACAAATTACTTATTTCTTCAGTTGCGATCATTTTCTGTAAATTCATTCACTAAAACTCGCGTCCAAAAACCCTAATGGCATTCAGCATATATATTAATTCAATAAGTAGAAAAAAAAAAATGTTAGTTCTCGAGAGTATGCAACTTAATATGAGCGCTGATATGAGTGGTTTTGCGTGGATGCGATATGTGACTGTAGAAGGTTGTGAATTTGGGTGCGAATTGGTGTTACTCTAGCTGTGACTGTGCCATTGCTATGTTCTTTTCAGGTACAAGGGTGTGGGTGTGTGCATGGTCATAGGCGGCGCAAGCTAATATTTTCTAGGGGAAGCAATAAATTTTTTTAAACCGAAAGTAATAAGTTTTTTATTGAAACACTTATATAATCAATATATTTAATTTCAAAATATTTTTTTTTCTATCTTTGTTTTTCGATACAAATTCAGTTACAATAGTATCTAAATCAATATCAAAATCACGTTCAATGTTTATTAAAGATAAACTGGATGATCTCTCTTGACCCATTGTCTTGCGAATGTATGTTTTAAGTCTTCTTTATGAAGAAAAACTTCGTTCACATTCGCACGTATTAACTGGAATTATCCATAATATTTTCACTAATCGATTGATGAAAACTATTTTCTAAAGAAAATTTTGTTGCTAATGTTAATGACAACTGAGTTTTGTTGCCAAGTGCTACCTTGTACATTCGTTGTTCACTCCTTAATTCATCATCATTTAAATATACATTCGTTAAAAACAACTTTTCATACAGTACAAGTACATTTATATTATTTTCATTAAATCTTTCTTTAATTGATACTGTGATTACATCCAATACAGCATAAAAAGAATTAATACGATAATTATCTTTAACAGACAATGTGGCCAGTGCAACGTCACTACCACCTAAACATGTACAAACTTTTCTTTTTCGACCCTCACTAGGTTCATCAATATTATTTGTTATACAAATATCCAGTTTCATTCCAAATACGATTGAATTCATGTTCACTTCTCATCCACTTAAGTGATGCAATAGTCATTTTGACTTGAGTCAATGCTTGAGTCAAAGATACATCAGATTTCTGTAAATATTTTGATAATATATTCGTAAGAAGAAACACCTCACTCATCAAATGAATATGAAAAATAAAATCAAATGTTTGCATAACATGTAACATTATAAATACATCACCAACTCCAATTTCTTTCAAAACAGTTATTATTTCAGCACAATGTGTTAAAACCACCGTTAAAGATTCATAACGACACGACCAGCGCGTATCGCACAATTGCTTTAATGGAATAGATGCTAAACCTGCTTGTTTTTGAATATCGTCAAAAATGTGATGTCTTTTTGCTGATACTTCAATTAGATGGTAAAGTGATTTGATAATACTAGAATTATTTCTAATAGGTACTACAACTTCCGATAAATCAATTAAACATAAATTTAAAATATGTCCATTACAGTGAATGTATAAAGCAATAGGTATAAATTGTATTAAATGAGCTGCTATACCTTTATATATGGCACGTATGGCACTAGCACTGTCATAACATTGATCAACTGTATTATTAATATCTAAATGTAGCCGTTTTAACTATTCAACTAGCAAATTAAATAAACCTTCACCAGTTGTGCAAGATGTTCGTTCAAATCGAATAAAACGTTCATATACATGAAACTGATCATCAGTGTAACGTATAACTAAGCATACTTGCTCATGACGAGAGACATCAGCAGATTCATCCATCATAATTGAAAAATATTTTGCATTTGTAATCTCGGATACAATTTGAAATAATACATTATCTTGAATTAAATCCAATATCTCATTTTGAATTGAATGATGTGTATATTTTAAAGATTTTGATTAATTTTTCATTAATTCATTTTCAAGACTTCTAAATTCAAGTAATTCAAGAAGATTACCCAAAAAAGAACAAGAATATGATTAATAGGGAATAGCATAAATGTACACGACTGGCATATCGTATGTGATTTAGTTTTACAATTTAACTCAAATTTCTTCTATAGCGTTAGTTATCTTTATTTTCCGAATCATCGTATTCTCTATGACCCCTGAAGGTTAAACCTTGTCTAGCAAGAAAAATGATGGTTCGAATTATTTCCTTTAAGTACATTCGATTTTCTAAAGTTTCTTTTTCATGTTGTCTATTAACTTGTTTTGCAACATCATTATTGTTTTATAATTTTTAACTGCATTAACCCATAAATCATTAGCATAATTATGTGATGCTGCCGCTTGATGTTTATTGAATTTCACTATGGCCATCGGCCAATTATTAAAGCCATCTATGGTAAATTCTTTTTCAAATCGACCTTCTACATATGCAAATCGACAAACAAAACAATGAGCCTTTTTAATCATTTCACTAAATTCAAGCCAATTATAACGTTGATACCAAGTATAACAAAAATGGCGATGATTAGTTGTTGGAAAATTTATATTTGGCTGGTATGGTCCTAACAAAACAAAGTCTTTAGCAGTAGCTGGACCTGGACCTGAATCTCGTTTAAGTGAATCATTTTTTAAATAATTATTTAATGGTTCACAACCACTAGGTGTTGCTGTTATAACATTTTCATCAGTAATTTTTTTCATTGATTTCATCCAGATCAAGGAGAACTGGTGTTGTTAATGAACATGATGGTACATCATCAATTTCACTTAATAATATTGGTTCGTTTAAATTCACAATATCTGAATTTGTAGTTGTACTACAAGTGTATTATATGATTCTGGTAATAATTTTTCGGTTTTCTTGTCAAATAATACGAGCGTTTAGTTTTATCAGACATTTAGTAGATATATGAAAGGCTAATGACAAAATCAGAAAAAATTCAATTGATTGCAAAACAATGAAAGGTGATTGAGAGTTTCTCTATGCATCACGAAAAGAAGAAAAAAGAATGGTGTCTGTTTTTCACCAATCATGTAATCATTATCGACCTTAAATTTGACAAAGACAGATGTCAGACATACATGATGGAAGTAGCGCCTTTGAAGGAAATAAAACAAATCTCATAGTGTATAAACGTTCTTCTAACAATTATCAGAATATGAAGCATTAGGGGAAGCAATAACTTTTTATTGCTACCTCTATTTTTTTTAGGGGAAGCAATTTCTTCCCCTCACTACTATGACGCACCGCCTATGTGCATGGATATGGTGGTGGGTATGAATCAGATAACACCAACATCCATATCGACACCCTACACCAATACCAACACTCACAATCACAGCCATAGTTACAGTCACACCCAAATCGAGTTGTGTTTCGAAATTTCACTTCAATCGCAGTGTACTTGTCGTGGAGAAAATTCTGAAATTGGATCGAATACGATCTAGCGGTGGACAACTAGCTCGAACGATCTGTTTTTTTTTTCTTTCAGTAACGTAAAATCAAAACGAAGATCGAACGACTCTCTGACAGAAATGTGAGATATTATTATGAGCAACATTTCTTTTTTTACTTGCAGTTGTGCAAACAATGCAGCGAAATGAGGTACTCAACGCAAAATGCACGTGAATGCAATTCTTTTCAATGTGTATTATGGTAGAAAATGATTTTATGTCAACTGTAAAAACAGTGTTCGAAAGTGTACACAGAAAGAAACATAAGAATTTCGATCTTTCAATGGCATTGAAAATTGTGTTCATTTTCATATTAATGGGCTTTCATTTTCAATCGATGGCCTACCTAGAAAATTATTCTCGTATGTGTGAGATATTAGGCAATCGACGAGATGACGAAGACAAAAGCAGGCATACAAACCTTAAACTACAACGAATACGTGCCCTGTGCGATGCTATCCATTCATCTCAATCGGAATTAAACAACGAAGAACTTCAATTGTCGCCCAATTTTGATGTGACTCGTATCCATTCTGGTAAGCTCATACACATCAGATCTCGAAGAAAATGACATTGGTATATCTACGTGTATTCTTGTAGACGAGGATATAAATAATCTATTGCAACGATTTCGGCGAGCTTCTTTATTTGTCCGCTATAATGTACCATCATCATCAAAATCAAGCTCACGTCCATCAGCCCGCACCACTACTTGTGCATCTTTTTCAATCGTCTCTCTATGTGTTTTATCAAATCGTTGTTTTTAGACACTCGATCCACGTCATCATCGAGCAAGCACTATCAAATTTTCCATCGTAAGTATGATGATTTGCTATTTGACTGTTCGATATTGTCTCAGGTTTTCGGAGCCATTTGACCGCCTCAACCCAGTCACCGCCACCAACAACAACAAAGAGCCACTTTCGAATACTACCTCGTAAGTATGAATTTTTACTGTTCGATTATTTCATGCTGTCTCAGACTTTCGGAGCCATTCTACCACCTCAACCCAATCGCTATCATCGACAACAATAAAGAGCCACTTTCGAATATTACCTCGTAAGTATGAATTTTTACTGTTCGATTATTTCATGCTGTCTCAGATTTTCGGAGCCATTCGACGGCCTCAACCCAATCGCCATCATCAACAACAATAAAGAGCCACTTTCGAATATTTCATCGTAAGTATGATGATTTTCTATATGACTGTTCGATATTGTCTCAGGTTTTCGGAGCCATTCGACGGCCTCAACTCAATCGCCATCATCAACAACAATAAAAAGCCACTTTCGAATATTCCATCGTAAGTATGATGATTTGCTATTTGACTGTTCGATATTGTCTCAGGTTTTCGGAGCCATTCGACCGTCTCGACCCGGGCACCATCAGCAACAACAACAAAGAGCCACTTTCGATTCTTTCATCGTAAATACTTATTCTAGAGAATTATTCATTAGAATGTTTTACTATCTAGGTCATTCATCATCGGATAACGATTCTCGATTATCCAACAGTACGTGTTTTTATTTCAATCGATGAACAAAAATCACTGTTATTGGGTGTGGATGTGGATGCGGTTGTTCCAGTGTGTGTAGAAGGAGGGGGAGGGGTGTAGGTGTTTGACTCGCCAATGTGAACATTAATATTCACATCCTCACCCATATCCACACCCGAACTCCCGTTTGACCTTCATCTTAATATGTTTTCTTTTCTGAAGGGTCCTCGTCCATTTCGCGAGACTCAAAATTTCGAGGTGGCAATAAGTTCAATTTGACTGATAATTTTCGTAAGTCAATATCAGATAAGACATTGAACAAAACTGAGGCTTTTAGAAAAAATTGTGCTAAGCGATAAAGTTACCACGACGAGTAAAACCATCATCTCTGGAAATGCCGACAAAATGGCAGGAAGTAAATGGGTAAGATTGTCTATGTAGTGTTCTTATACATAATTCTTTCTTTTCTTCATATCCGTCTAGGTGCAAGCTGGTAAAAAATATTTACCTATTGCTATTAACTATGTCAAAAGGTATCATCAACGACGAAAATATACTACAAGAGCCTACAACATTATAAATGATGATGGACAGTTCTACGCGGCAAATGAGATGAGAAACGAATATAACGAGCTTCCATGTCAGTAAAAGCTAGATCATCCAGTCAGAGATACAATAATTTTGTCCAACTTGATCTTTTAGATGATAATGGCGATGACAACAATTTCCTTTATCCAACTGATACAGATGATTCTTCGGCAAAAATCGATGATCAAATACCAACGGTATTTTATTGTCATCAAAAAAACTTTCATCTTACACTGATCCCTGGAACGCTCAATGATGAAGGCATTGGAAAATGCAATATTGCTAATCGAATAGTGACATGTCCAATAGAAATACAATGCGAGATCAGTGAAGCTGATGATTGTTGTGAAGGTAAATTTGATCTACCCTTACAGTGAAATATTGCTAAATATAATAAACTACTGATGTAGATGAAGATGGAACTCCATTTTGCTGCGGTCACTACGTGCCCAAAACAACAATTTCATACTTTCCTAGCGGTACACATCGAACACATTCTGATCGTGCTATGCGCATCGGTACTATGTAAGCATTTATGAGCTATCGAACACGTCTCAAACGACAAAATAAGTTGATCTTGCTTTTCTTAGAGTGACGGTTGTTATTTTCATCGGTATTTTTCTTGCTGTCTTTTGCTTTGCAATTTGGCATCAATGAACATGATTGTGAACTACGAATGGACCATTTACATTAATTTGAAATTAAATTTAAAGTTATTACTTAACACTTAGTATTAAAATTAAGCTTTTTTCGCTGAACCACCTAATTCATTAAGGGTGTGGGTGTGCAGTGTGAATGTGCGTGTGGGAGTGTGGTTGTGCGTATGGCTGTAGGTGTGAGGTGTGGGTATGGGTGTTTTCTTCTTTACACCCACACCCTGTTGCTAGTTTCAAAAATAAAAAGATACCATGCTGAATTTTATATATGCTATGCAGCTTTTGATTCTCCGCAAAATGATGAGAAAATGTTGCAAAAAGAGGTTAGCGTTCGAGGTAAAACGAAGCTCAGAAATATCTTTTTCTTGGTTAATTTTTAATGATTTTTCAAAAGAAACAGAACTTTTATGGCGGTTTTCGTTGACAAGACACATTTGTAAGTCAAAATGACTGTAATATTCGGAATCAGCATCAAAAACTACGTCGAATCGAGTAAATTCTAGAGATACTTTTCCCTAAGGAAAACTGATCCGTAGGGACCACAGGTGATTTTTGCTTAGAAAAAAAGTATCTTTAGAATTTATTCAATTCGGCATAGTTTTTGATGCTGATTCCGAATATTTCAGTCATTTTGGCTTACACATGTGTCTTGTCAAAGAAAACCGCCATAAAAGTTTTGTTTCTTTTGAAAAATCATTAAAAATTACTAAGAAAAAGATATTTATGAGCTCCGTTTTACCTCGAACGTCAATTTCTTTTTTGCAACATTTTCTTATCATTTTCTAATGAATGAAAAGCTGCATAACAGGGTTGTCATCTCTTCTGCTTTTTTTTCTGTCCTTTCTACTTTTTTCTGCTTTTTCAAATATCTTATCTAATATTATATCTTTAACCAACATTTGTTATATTATACCATATCATTCTTTTCAACGTGAAGGCAAATTCTTATCAATATTTGGTTGCATTTGTGTCTTATTCTTATTCTATGGTAAGCGTAATTCTTATTTTCCCACTGATTGTGAAAAATTGCCAATCTACAGATTTTCCAAAAAGTTCTGGACACTCGACAACAGTTCTCCGATACTTTAAACTTGATCCGACTGTAAAAGTAAGCAAATTTTTAGCATCATTCTTCAGCAAGTTTTCATTTCATGCTAACAAAATAGTGTTAAACATAAAATATCCAGCGGTGAGAAAGTTCAGGGACAAATATCATTCTATTCACCCATTAACTTTTCTTTGGTTGCAGATAATATCAATGGAAACAGCTTGAAAAATTACCTATTTAGTGGCCTAAATAAAGTTGTTAAAAAACTACTATAAAAGAGGAGAAATGCAACGTATCACAGGTAGAAACAAAATAGAAATCTAAAATTTCTAAAATATTTGATCTATTTTTACGTGAAAAAAGGCAATAAGATAGACATTTTCCGGTATCGTCCACTGAATTTCTTTTATATGTGAGAAAGTTCAAAAATGTATGGTTTTTTTGAATTTATTCTACTCTTCAAAACGAGCAAAAATAAGATATGATTTTTCCTCTTTCACAGTATTTTTTAGCATTTTTGCGGCGGAAAACCTCACTACGAAAAATATCTGACTAATATAATCTCCAACACGAAAACATGTCTACAAGAGTTAGTTTTTCAAGTTCTTTCCACTAATACTATCTACAATCGAAGAAAAGTGAGTGGGTGAATAGAACACATATCGACCCAGAGCTTGTTGTTACTCAATATTATATGTTTTATACGGATTTATTGGTATCAAATCGTAATGATTCATTTGTTCAATAGGAAATGAAAGCTTGCCTAATAATAATGCTAAATATATGCTTATTTTCACAGCCAATTCAAGCATAAAGTGCTGCAGAACTTATTGCGAGGACTGTAGAAGTATATATTATCCAGCCAAAATTTATTCGAAGCTATTGAATCAGGAAATCCAATACTTCAAGTTTCGTTTTCAACAAAGTGTTTTTTTGATTTTATATAACAAGAGATAGGAAATTGCTGTGAACTTTTCTGATTACTTGATTAAGTCAAAGCTTAAAAAATTGTTTAGTATCAGAAACATATATTCTGCTATTTTTCTGCTTTTCGAACATCAAGAGGTGGCAACCCTGCTACATAATATATATCAAATTCAGCATGGCATTTTTTGATTTTCGAAACTAGTAACAGTTATAATGTCGAAAATCGACCATTTTTAACTCATAAATTGTGATATTTCTAACTCATGTTGGACTAAAAAAATTCAGTAAACAGATGAAATGTAATAATTGAAATAGCTCCATTTTTTCAGCGATTAATTGCTCTATCTTTTAGTATATTTCACGAAGAAATTAATCCGTCTTGTTGAAGTATTATCGTAATAAACATTTATGATACAATTTTCGCCTATTTTGTTTTTGATAATAACTTGACAATGCTCAGAAGTCAGTATCGACTAACTTTATTATAGTGCATCCAAATGAGCTAAAAATTTAGGTTTGATGGTTTTAGACTATGGGCTTTCAAACACACATAAAAGGAATCAAAAATCTAAATTCTGACCAGTACCTCGTATACTGAGGTGATCCCCTTGGTCCGCTCGCGGACTCTCTTAATGAACCAAATAAGTGTTTGTACCATCAGTTTTTATCGTTCTTAAACGATACTCGTATTTAACACATTTCTATTTGTATGATAGTGTTTTGCATATAAAAGATCATCTCTTTTTTTTAATGTTCTGTTAATATAAACTTACACATAAAGATATAACTTTGATGATTCATTTTTTGTTGAAGCTATTTTCAGTGACCTGCACATTCAATCATCATCATCAAATGATTCAGAATTTTATTTTTAAATTATAAAATTATTCATAATTATTTTCCTCCAATAACATCGTTATATCAATTAAAACATAAATAAAAATTACATATAGTTAACTCAGAAAAATTTGTGAACTATATTTTGTAATAGTGTTTAACATTTTCCTTTATTCAAATGTCACAATGTTAACAGTGTGTATGTATGTTTTGGCATCATCGGTAAGGTCTAAAAAAGCATGCATGCTCGAATGTGATATACTGTATCTGTTGATATTTTATATTTATGTCAATCATTTATGAAGCGATATCCATGTGTGAAATATAGAGTCACTGATAATATGATAAATAGGTTATTTACCTAAAAAGAAATTGACTTCATGCATCAATAACTTGATCATTTATTTACATATGTGAAAATATGATGAAAGATAATTATCGAGCACAGTAATATAAAAGAATATATTTCGTTTTGTCGTCATACACTTTCAAACATTCCCACATTTTTATCTTTCTTTCTTCTAAGTTATTGCTCTTCAAAATCGTTTCAAAATAGATCAATTCGAAGTAAGAAAATCAAAATAGTATATTTGGCAGATGAAAGTCTGCTATGTCACTATTATTTTAGATTGATTTCATCGATTCTTGCTCAATGAAAATATTTCATTGAACATGAAACAATTTCATCTGTATTACAACTCTTTCGGCTTAAACTGGAGTTATTCGAAACTTTCTGTCAGAAATGATATATTTACTTCGTTTTTGTACTGAGTGACTTGATTGTAGGATAAATTCATGAGAAACAAACGATGTTTTTATAAAAGAAAAAAGACTTTCTTCATACCTAAAATATCAACTAACCCATTATTGTCATAAATTGCTAACATCTATTTTGACTGTGGTTCGACTCTTTTTGGTCTTCAAAACTTATCTTTCAACAATGTAGTAATCAAAATAGACGATGAATAATGTGAGAAGAAAATTTTTGTTTAGCGAAAACTTCGTTCACTTTTCATGGATTTATATGAAGCAAACTGTAAGTAGTACGAACTACAAAAAAAAGCTGATCACTGGAGATTAAAATATAACTAAATATTTATTTATAATTATTTTGAAAATTTAATTGGTAAGAGTCAAAGTATTTGAGATGAAAAATTATCTGCAATAGTAGAGCGTATAACATAGATTGTAGATTCGTATTGTAATGTAATGATTAATTTATGTATAAATTTTTATAACTTTTGAAAAACCTTGCCATTGTTTAGAATCTTTTCAAAATTTTCAAAAAATAACTCGATTTCAAACTTTCTTTATTTTAGTTGAAAGGGAATGAAATTTTTTTTTCAGTTTTATTGTATTAAATTACAAATTTTAAAACTGTAACAATGTGGACAGTAGAGATTCCAGTTATTGGAATATGTCATTCATCAGAGAAGTTATTCGTATAGTGGTATTCACCATTTCTCGGCTATGCAATCGTATTCATGCTGATGATAGTGAATTGGCATCTGATCATATAATAAATTGAGTGTAGTAAAAGTAAAGTTATAGATAGAACTGATCTGACTGTAGATAATGATATTCGAGCGGCTTAACTTTCAAGTGTTACTCATGATGTTTGTTTTACAGAACTTTTAGAAAAATAATCGGCTATTATAGAAAATAAATTTCGATAGTTCGAATCGATTTTGAACTTTTTGTTGATAGTTATTTTTTAGATTGATAAAATTTTTTGCATATATAAAAGTCAGAAATGTTTTTGACTACCTTACTATGTTCGATTCCAATAATAATCAGTACAATTTATTTGTACATCAAATGGAAATACTATACTCTACGTGGTCCAGTTCCTGGTCTAAAACCTGAATTATTATTTGGTAATCTTCGTCAACTCGGAATTATTGGACCAAATCGTCAATTAATTGATACCTATGATCGTGCTGCTGAGAAATTGCAAAAACAATTTGGAGATATATTTCAATTTTGGATGGGTACATTTCATTCTTATGTATTTTGTCGACCAGAACATGCTGCACAAATTTATGAAGATCGTCATATATTTGATCGTGGTGAAATACATAAAGAAACATTTGGATTACTCGGTGAAAATATTTTTATTGCACTTAAAGGTCTAAAATACAAACGACATGCTAAAGCAATTTTACCTATGTTAAAAAGAAATAAATTTATATCACAAATATCGAATATTATCGGATGTGTCGATCAATTAATTCAAATTTGGAAAATTCGATATGAGAATAAAGATGACGTTATATGTACATGTATATGGAGTGATAATCAACATATGATGTTGGATATGTTCACATTTTTAACATTTGATTATGATTTGGGCAATTTAAAGTATTTAGCTAAAGTAGCAACAGACGTCACTTCAAACGAAAAATATCAACCATCCGATTTCGGTCGAGCATTATTAATATGGACTGATAGAGTCAAACTGGTCACAAGCAATGGTATGCCACTCATTGTCAACTATTATCTATTGAAATTTGATCGAAAATATCAAAATGCATTGAAAATAATTGATAATCATGTAGAACAAATTATTAAAAAATATCAAATGGAAATGAATCCAAATGATAAATCTGTCAATCTTGTTTCATCATTAGTATCCTCATTACAAAAAGATGAATCATTAGAAAGAACAAAAAGTGAAGCTGAAAAAAGAGGAATTACAAAAAAAGAATTATCCGATGAAGTATTAGCAATGATTCTCGGTGGTTTTGATACGACATCAAGTATTCTATCATGGTTTATATATTTTGTAAGTAAACATCCAGAAGTTCAACAAAAAATGAAAGAGGAATTAAAACAACATAATATTACACAAGATACATCATTAAATGATTTACATTTACTCGATAAATGTGTATATATTGATTGTGTCATCAAAGAAACATTGCGAATGGTACCGCTTCTCGTCGGTTCGTTTCGAACAGTTACCGAAGATGTTACTGTTGATGGAGTCCATATTCGTAAAGGAGAAACAGTTCTTTCAGCGTTCTCTTTGATGCAACGTGATCCAAGATATTGGAAATTAGATCCTACACAATTTATTCCTGAGAGATTTTTTGGTCCAGATGCTCCTGATGCCAATCATCATCCGTGGGCGTTTGCAGCATTTGGTGGTGGTCATCGTACTTGTATTGGACAAGACTTAGCACGATTAGAATTAAAGTTAATCGTTGTTCGTTTTATGTCATTCGTTACTTTTATTGATGCACCTGGAAATAACGGTGGCCGTTGTCAAGGAATGGTCGTTACACCGAAAGAAGTCGCTGTTTATATCAAATTCGATTAATTTTTCAATATAATACTTAAATATTTTTGTAATATTCTCTCTATGCATAGTTTTAGAATGGAAAGAGTATTAATCATGCATTGCCCTCTATTCCCTTTTTTTTTCATTTTAAGTTCTTTCAAAATAAATTTCTCCTTATAGATACGTATAATTACCGATTTTAAATGGTGTAGGTGTGGATGTCGCATCTTCTTTAACCGACACCCATATCCGTATATGGATCAAAGATATTTTATGTTTATTGAGAAAGAGAAAATGTTTACAGTTATTCATATATGGTACATGATATTTTGAAGCATTAAGCTTAATTCTCAATAAAAGAGATGAATAATTAAAAAGCTACTGAAACGATAATTGAGATTTGAAAATGTTTCATAGATTTCAAAACCATCAAGAAAATCAAATATTTCATTGACTACTGGCATAACTATTGCAGTCTTATTTCGTCGACAACTTCTTCCTTGAATGAATCGTCATCTAATAATTAAGCATGTGATGGACACGTGAAGGTGCAAGTAATTGAGATCGCGTAGAAATATGGCAAACACCATGATGTTGATCGTCTTTTCATACGCAGGAATGTCTCAAAGCATGAGCTTACGAGAAATCCTTTTCGAATATCCAATCGCTTTTTGACTGAAGCGATCTTCTCTTGATGAGTAGGTATTAGTCAGCAATACAAAACTGTAGAATGGCTGGCTTTGTAGGCGTTCGTTCTCGAGATATCGAAATTTTAGTACATTTTTGAATAAAAAGCTGTGGTTTTCCGTCAGATCATGTGTACAATCAACTATTGAGTTTCAAATTCAAGCTTATCACAAATCGAGTTCTTAATGAAATTTATGGATTGTACAAGTTTTAGCTTTTCTAGTATCTCCTATATTCACAGACGAAGTTTAATATAGTTCTGCTTTTACTTTTGTTCTTGTTTTAGTGACATAAATCATCGAAAACAATTTGTTGAAGTTATGGAAAAAAAGCATTTTTTTGTGTGTTTTCGGTTTTTCGTTGTTTAAGTATTTTGAATCTATCTCGGTCAAAATAAAAACTTTTTAAACATGTTTTAAAGCAAAACGCTTAGCAATGAAAGCTCTGCAGATGAGTAGAAACTGACAATTTGAGTTAAAAATAATTATTTCATTCAATTCTAGTTTCAAGTTGGGCACTACTGGGAAGAGAAGTTGATGTTAGGAACTACATTGCATTACTCTCGCTAGTACGAAAGCACCAATTAACTTGTATAAAATAAACGGAAGAATAAAAATCTATTGATTGTCAAGATGAATAATTTCCATTATGAATAAAACATCATTTTTCAAATGTATTAAAGAATTACTATACGTCCGCCACTACTTTTGGAATAACCTAAGTAGAAAGTTTTTCAATAGAACTCAAAATTATTAGACCTAGCTCAAATTATACGACGTTACACTTTTACAATGTTAGAAATATTGCTATTTTTTTTTATTCAAATCAAATGGCCACTGAAGGATGGGTCTCATCGAAAATAAATTTACCTGAACAATTCAATCGACGATCTTACGTTCTGTGAAAAATCGATTGACTTGGTTCGAATGTGTTTTATATTTTATACAATGTTATTCAGTCATATAACGCATTCAAACACAGTTGTGAGATGAATAGAATAGAGCGAAGAATGTCATTCATTTGTCACACACTCGAAATGGGCAACCGACCCGTTGCCATCGTTCACAATGATAAATTTTATGCAACAAATGGTATAAAAGTAACATTAGTTCAAAATCCATCAGATCGTTACTTTAACATTACGATTTATCTGGTATCACAAATCAATATGAAACGATTCATATTTCGATTTTTTGCTATCGAGTGAACAAAAACACGGCTTATTGCATAAGTCAACGAAACTTCGCCTGGTTCTTCAAGATTGCCCATCGCTAATGCCTATATATTCATTGTCTATGTTACTGAGAAAACCAATGATAAAGAAATTGAGCTTGCACTCATTTTATGTTTGAGAAGCTTAAAATATTTACGACTCATTTCTACTAAAATGTTAAAATATAATATAGTCGGGGTGAGAATCCTGTCGAATCCGACTGGATACGTTGCTGGATCACACTGAAAACCATCGAATTCCGATCGGATTTCCCTCTAAATTTTCGGCTCAAAATTCTGCCTGGAAGCCCGCCGAAAAAGAATCCTATCGAATCTGATGGGATTCCGATGATTTCTGACGGTCAGATTCTATCGAAAACGATCAAAATCTACCGAATTTTTTAGGATAGCAATCTAGAGTTCATCAGTCCTCACTAATATAATACATGAGATTTTGTTTAAAACTTTATATGTGATCAACGTGAGTTGGCTGTTGATCTCACGATTGAAAATGAGTGTTGGAGTTTTGGAGCGAGAAAATTGAACCCTTCCCTTTTAATAGACTGTGACACCCATACCAAAACCTTACATTATGGTTTTTTTTGGGCTACAATCACTACATTTCAGCACCAATTACGTCATCATAGGCAGTGGGGAATTAGTCTCCTTTGACTCTTTGGAAAAGTATTTCGAAAATAAGAAGCTATTTTATATTCATGAGAAACGGCTTCATCGTGTTTCACATGTTAATCTCTTAGATATTACACTGAAACATTTTTTTGGTTAAGTTAATTTCTTAGCTAAAGTCTCAAAAAAATTAACATAACATTAATTAACTTCAATTGAAGCGTTGTCATTATGAACAGAGAAGTTTTATTGAATAAGTTCAACATGAATCATTTTTTCACGCTCAATCTTGCTGCCTTCGATCGGTATGCCTAGTGGTTGAATAATCGACGCTCGAACATGATGACCATTGGGCAATTGAACCTAATAGAAAAAAATGACAATTTTCTCTATTTGAAGAGAAGAAGAGAATTAACCTGAAAATAAAAGCGAGAATCGGTTTTGACTTCGGTACAAACACTGATTGGTTCGAGTTTGGAATCATCAGAAGCCGGTAAATCAGGAAAGTGCTCGCGAACCTGATCGGCAATGGCCGATTGAAACTGTCAAAATAACATTAGAAATTGATCGAAATTATGCTTCTATTACTTACAGCTTTGAACAAGTCACGATCAGATTCAGTCAGATCACGTGGACCCAGCGTGGTCTCGCTAGCATTGTTTGGTTCATAACGACTAAAAATATCAATTAATCGAGATCATTTATGGCTGAGTAAGATCACCGTTACGCTCCTTTTGAGTCTACGAAAATCATCTGATGACTAATCTTATGAGATTGAATCAATTAAAGACCAAGTAACGAGACTCCGACAGTCGTTGAAAAAAAAAGTTTTTGAATGAAGCTTATTCGATCCAAAAGTAAATCCTCACTACGATGAAAGTGTTTCGCTGTGTAAAAAAAAGAATTCAAGAAATATTTTTTCCGCAAAGAACGAGAGAATCTTTATTATCCTAAGCGAGCTCAATGTGACGGAAAGTGTCAGATTTCTTTTTGATTTTTTTAATCAAAGTCTCGCAAGAATTCGAATGCTCATTTCAATGTTCATTTCTATTTTTTCATTCGAATGATTATCATAGAAACAAGATGAACATCAAGAATCAATCGGTTAAAGATTCATTAGAAAAACTCTTACACGTGAGTCGTCTTCACTGTTGCTGTTGTAGTTGATTCGGGTTGAGACATCTGCTCCGTGCGAATATTTACTTCTGATTGAGTTCAATAAGTGCAATCAAATGTTGGATTACAAACACGCTTATAAACAGAAAAAGAAAGAGTATCTACTGCAAGTTTTTTTCGCGTTCTGCTCGTCACATGGTTAGCTACACAGAACGCGTTGATAAATAGATTTCTCTCTCCTTCGAAGAATACAGAACGCACTCAATACTTGATTACAGAGGAATGAGGACGTTTTTTTTTCACACGTCGAATCTCAGTTCTCTGCAGAAATTGTCTAAAGATTACATTTGAAATAGAATTCTTTGGCAAAATTCCCTATGTCGATCGGTTTTTGAAGAAGAAACTTCCTTCGAAGTCATCATTTTGTCCTCACCGATGGGCAGATAATAGAATCAAGCAGAGCAATTGGATGCATAAACAAGAGACGCGGAGTACTCGCATACTCACATCGAAAGTATCTGTTAAAACTCGTGTTTAATCTAAAATGTCCAATATCATAATTTTTTGTCTATCGTCAATATTATTTCAAATCAAAATTCTACGAGATGACCAATTCTATCGTTGTAGGCTATCATATTCCTTCGCATGTCGGAATTCATCAACAGTCGACATTGATGAAAATCGCAGTAATACTCATGACAATTATATTCGTGTTCGGTTTCATCAATAGGTTTTTTCTCTTTTCAAATATTTCGAAGGAAATGAAGGACATCGTGTTAGTTGTGTTACAGATAGTCGATTGATGTACGAAGATCAGTTAATCGAATGTATAGACAATGGCATAGAAACATAGATGATCTTCATCATGAAAATAACTTATTTTCTATTAGGATTAGGATGACACACAATTGCATAATATTTAAATATAGCTAGTAGAAATAGTTTGATGAGTGTATCATTATTCGATAGAAGATCGTCAACGTGAGGACAACGATTCTGTTTCACTGCTCGTATCTTCAACAATTCAAGATTGAGATGTTTACGTAAAGTAAGAGTATATATTTCATGTTCACTTGCATTTCTATCAAATATATCGAGTAGAACAAAATATGGCATACTTATTTCTAAGAAAACGTGATCTTTTACTACCATGTTCTTCAAAATTACATAATCTCAATAAGAACGAAAGCAATGGCATCATTCACTTGAATGGTCTACCAGGCTTAGATATCTATTAACTAAATTTTCTCTTCAATAATCGATTTTCACACTTCTTTTATTTGCTTTATTGTCTCCAGGCATGACACAATACATTCGTTATTTGATCCATGAAGTGAAAAGCAAAACACTCATATATATGCTACTAGATATGGCCAACAACATTGAATCACCTGGCTTTCTTTCTTTCCTCATACAATATCCAGATTTGATTCTCGTCATCGAAGATGCCCAGAACATCGTTCAAGATCGAAATGAAACTCATACTCTTTCATAAGTTCTAGCGAATTTGCTCAATCTGTAAGTAAAATTCGATCCACTACGCCTGATTGAAGGATATGAATGTCGGATCTGATTGAGAAAAAACGGTAGAATCAGGTAAAATTCTATAGAAATTTCATGAAAACTAAAGAATTTCATAGACCAAAATTCCATTAGGACCCAATCAGACTGGATTTCACCTGGGAAGGGTGTGGGTGTGGATGTGGATGGTTCTGTCTAGTCTGTTCTTCACACACCTATATAATATTAGAGAAAAAGACGTCCCGATGTCTTCTCTTTCGACTGTTGAAAACCGCAGCTCTATAGCTCTTTCCCTTCTTAAGTTATTGCAAAAATACTCATGACCATTATTTTTTTTTAATAGATAATAGTTTTATTGCCCTAAAACTTGATAAAATACCGGTGAAAACCAGCCGGTCCGATTTCAAGTATGAAATAGACTTACCTGTAGATTTCTGTTTCATAAAAGCATTTGGTTGTTCGATAAAACCTGAGCAAAAAAATTAGCAATTCAAATTTAGAAACTAGGTTTCGGAAAATGGCTTTTATTTTAGTACTGAAGAAATCTTATATATTCTCTTTTTGTAGAGCTTATATATTTGAAGAAGCACATTATGGTCTTTCTTTGTTAAGATTCATAAAAATTCAAATACAAGAAAAAAAGAATCCGTTTGAAACCATTACTTTTAATCAGTGAAAATTTATTCAATAAAATGGCCAGTTTATACCGGTTTAAAAAATTTTCTGAACCAGTCGGCAATTGATCGGATCGGATCGATCTGAAACTTTGGCCAGTCGATCAAAATCAGTTAGAACATTCTCAATCGGTTACAATTTTGAATCAATGTGGTTCGATTAATATAATCATCTACTCGATAGTTGAATAGACGAAAATCGTCATCATAGAGACGTATGAGCTGACAAATTAGCTCATCTGGCAAGGTTGAGTAAAACTTTTGATAATCCGACGTAGTGAGACCTGAGGCACTATTTCCCTTTTGTTGAATATTCCAATCAGATAGATTGAAAAGTTTGAGAAAATAGGCGAAGTGATCGTTGTACGTTTCATATTTACCAACAAAGTTATATTTAAATTTACAGACTTGACAAAGCACTGAGTAGGGCTGCCAATGGTAGTCCATTCTAGCAACTATACCAGGTCGATGAGTGCCCACAAGAATATATCGGATAAACTCTTCAAATGAAGGGATAATCTCTTTGCATGCATCAATTTTTGGTAATGATTGACGAAAGTCCCTAGACCATATACGTCGACGACAGATCTTCTCGCGCATAGCATCGTATTCAGGTTCTGGCTGAATTCTATCTTGCTTGAGCGTTGCAATTCTCTCTTTATAAGCTGATGCAAGACGTTCAAATGGATGACGAACGAAGATAGCTCGGATGAAAGAAGGAGAGAATATCTGAGATAAATTGGAGAGACTATGGAGACGAAGATAGGGAAATGCAAATGTGAAACGGAGTCTCCAAGGATTAAGAGGTGGAGACGAAAACGTTGCATTAATATTGCCGAGGCGGAGGATATCAGAGTAGATGCGAAGAAACGCGGCAAGAGATTTCGGTTCTTCTATTTTCGGAATTGTAATTGCATTCTAAAGTGAAAGGTCTAGATAAAAAATCCTTCAAATAGCATCAATATTTCTTCATCATACCTGTCGAAGGTCCTCGATGAATGCAGAAATATTGATCATTTGTTCCGTTCGAGCTATATCAGCATCAATATTTGTCCAATTATTATTGAGATGTTCATTGATATCACGCAGATGCATATAAAGCATAACAGTAAGAAGAGTTTTTGTCGCTACTTTTGGAACAGGACAATACATTAGAGAGCGAGATCGTAGTACGAAGGTGATCAAATTGACTACCTCCTTTTTGTGTACGAAAATGCCAGTGAGGCAATTATGTCTTCTGCATGCCGCTGAATACGAATAATTACAACGTTTATTGAATATTCTCGGCCAATATTGGTAGACCATAGGTGCTGATGAATGTGAGCCGGTCTCTATCACTTTAATCAGTTGCAAATCTAATTTCTTCTTTGTGAGAAAAAGACCTATGCGAAAATGAAATACGATGAAGAGACTTATTAAAGCGATCGTATATGCATAATGTTTCTTGTGTAATCGAAAAAAGCCAAAATAGCGACTTAACCCAACGAACATCTTCTGACACATTATGCAAACTACGTGGATTTTATACCAGCGCATGTTCCATGATAAATCTCTCCAAGATCAGCAGAATCACAATTGGAGTAGAAATAATGATAAGTTTCCGTTTTCTAAAAATAAAGACAATCTTTATCGGCAAATTTTGATGGAATACGTTTTGCTGATTAAGTCGAGCAGGAGCAGATCAAATATATCTATTATTAGCTGGAGTTACGGTTGGAAGATTCAGAAATGAATTTTCAAAATCCAGTTTAAAAGGTAGGGGCAGGTTAGCCGTAACAAGTAGTTCTAACTTGAAAATTGGAAAAAGTGTATGTAGTATACCTATATTGATAGAATTTGAGCTCCATTTTCTTACAAAATATGGGTTAGTTGTATGCTCTTTATACTGTTTGAAATTACAAGAGTAAAATGAAAACAAAATCAGATGCCCTTAACCAACCTTCATGATGTTTTTATTGCAGCTACCTCTTATTATTCTTCATAGTTTTTGAAAATTTCAACTTTCTAACTCTACTTAATATGGAGATATGAAATTTACAGGATAAATAGTTTCGTAAACCAGCGTCTTTTGACTCATAAAAAATCCATATATGTCAAACCTGAGAGTTAAATTCAATTATTGAATATCTGAAGTGAAGATATGCCAATATTCAATTGTTACTCTCGGTGAAGATAAGGGTAAAATACATACTCTCTTGTCTAAGAGTAAAAAAGAGATGGGTGCATAAATACACTCACGCGCGACCTCTTCCTTGCGGGTGAGAGTGAAGGCAGAGACAATATCTGAATATCTAAATATCTTTACTTCAATTATTGAATAATTGAGTATTTGGATAGGTCTTCAATGATTAATTCAACTTTCACGGTTGACACTACTGCAACATCTTCAGATATTGTCGTTTTGTGCTCGAGTGTCTAGGAACGGAAGTAACAAATAAAAGTATAGCCTATTTCAAATCAGTGGAAAAACAGAAATCAACCATTTCTAAATGAGAGAAATGGACAAAACCGATAATGACTAGGCTCGAACGATGTTTCAAGAAAGTGTCGTATATGTCGCAGAAAAATGTGGTACAGCGTACACTTAGTTTCGTAGTTTAATGTGTCGTACAATGCATTGCAAATTACGACACATCCGGCATATTAATTGTTACTGTGTGGAGCGTACTTAAGTTTACAAATCAGTCTTGTATATTGCTCTTGTGTGTCACATTTCTGAAGTAGCAACCGATAACCAACATCCAATATCGACACACATGTCGAAAATTTTTTACGAAAAATCAGATTAAAATCGAATGGGTATGCACCAATACCAGTATACTGTTCACTACAAGACCAGTATAATACTGGTGCTGGTATATACCTAAATCG